GAGGTGGAAGGTAGCGAAGTGAGAGAGGACAACTCCATGGGAAAAATGACTGGTAGGCGTTTAAACTAAATATGTCTGCTCAGCAAATAAATTAGTTAGTTACTACACCAAAGTCACAACAAAGTAAGTTTGATCAAAAAAAGCTGATCAGGAGAATATTTATTTCATAATCAGTAAAATTTATTTTTTAAAACTAACATAAAATCAAAGAGGAATACAGAACATTTAGGAATTTTCCCCAAATCCTCTACTTAGCCTTAAAGATAATAGATAAAAACAGCATATTTTACAAAATTCACATTAGAGGAAGGTACTTAATCTACTGTGAAAAGTAACCTAAGTGCAAATGCCTTAACCAGCTTTAATTAATTACAGAAATATTTCCTCAAGTATTTTCGTTATATTCTCCATGTTTCTGCTCTTTGTTCTTACACTGTGAAGTTAATATATTTAAAAGATTTATAAAATGTCTTAACATAAATTCACAGATGTTCTTAAAGTTTTGTATTAAAAAAAGCGCCCTTGTATGAAAAAGGAATTTAAAAAGCTTTCTGTTTTTCTTTACCAGAAAGTTAACATGCAATTCCTTTATCAGTGATATTTTAAGCCTTCATAGTGAAATTCTTGAAGACTGAAATCAAGAGAAATGTTAATGTTCAAAAAGACCTCTATGATTAGCAAGTTGAACCATTAACATAACAGTGCCAAATCACAGATCAGGTCGTCAGATAAGGATTTATTTTTTTCTTACCAAAAATATTTCTGTTAGTGAAATGACTTTCTGGTATTATGGTGTTTCTTTTGACCTGTGTAGGAATTGTTTATAATCAGATAAGTTTAATCATTCCATCCTATTAGGCAATTAATATGTAAGAAACACTGACTAAACTAGTGATTTACTAAAAACAATGTAAATCCTACTGGCTCAAAAGTGTCAGCCATTTAGCAAAGTGAGGTCTTTAAATACATGTTCTCCAGTAAGGATTTAAAATTGCTGGAAATAAAATTACTTTTTCCCTCTTGCTAAATATTTCTTACGATCGTCTTTTGTTTTTATTAAAAGTCAGCAGTTGTCTTTATATAAAAAGTATATTTTCGTATTGAGAATTGTACCTTTCTTCATGCATCACTTTCCTTTCTTCCTTTTAGCATTCCCACTGTGACCCTGCAATGACTCCATCAGCAATTACTAAATCATATGGGGAGAGTTAATATTTTGAAAATATTAATGTTGTTAATATCACACGTCTAACACAATCTGATATACAGAAAGAATGATCATGTAATCAGATTTCTAGTGATATTCATAGGCTGGAAGGTGTCCTATAACACTACCTGGAAATAAGAAAATTAAATATTGTATACAGATTTTAAGAATGAAGTTCATTGGAGAATTGGAAATCAAGAAGAAATTCTCTGTTGCACTTAAGATGCCCAATTTTTAACATTCTTTTTGTAAAGTGCATTGGAATATATGTTTTTCTCTGTGTTTATCATTACAATGATTGAACACACTAATAGAGGAATCAGACAGGAAACTAGATGGATATCTATTTTTTTGTGGTGTTAAAATTTTCTGTCTTGTTAATTTAATTCCAGCGTACTGTTTGCTTTGCACCTGCCTTTTACAGCAAAACCCTCACATTTTGCAAATAGAGACAAGTTGATGAAGTTGTGTTTTTCTGAAATTTTTTTATTTTAACATTCCTCTTGCAAAGATGCTGGGCAATATTAACTAATACTATTGCTTTTTCAAATGTATGACCAGTCATAGGAAGAGTGGTTGACAAAAATCTGGAGTTTCAGTTCCTCAAATTCCTAATCTTGTAATTCAAATATTATCTTTTCTTCAGATTTAAGGATACAGTCCTATTACTGCTGCTGGTATCTGAAATGCCGTAGCAGGACACTAACTTTCTAAAACAGCTACATTAATACAACTCCCCTGAATCGTCTGCATGCCGTTCCCTCATGTCCTGTCACTGGTTGCCAGAGAGAAGAGATTGGTGCTAGCTCTCATTCTTAACTCTCTCTTTACTACATGAATTGTATTGCATTGAACAAAAGTGCCTTGCTGTAATGGCTTCTATACTAAATTAAGTTTCAAATAACACTAGTTATTCAAAGAGATTATAGAGATTGAAGAGATTCACGGTCTTCTGGAAACTCATCTTTTAGCCAGAAAGCATTCAATCCTGATTGACTCACAAAGGATTTTTATGCAAGAACCCTGCAAAAGTGATCACCAGAAGGGAATTTACAAGTTAAACAATAGGCATGGCTATGAACTGCCCACTTCTGGGTAGTTCTGGCTTCTTCTTTCTGAAAAACCTTGTAGTCTGTCTACACAAAAGCTCAGAAGACTCAACTCCAAATTAATGTACTCCTTTTTTCAAGACAAAAGATTTCACTATGAAACTGTAGCTCAACAATAAAAGTTTAAGACATTATGGTTACAGGTTTCTACCACACTTCCTCTTAGAAATTTTCATGCCTGTAGCAAAGACACTGAGGAAGATGCATGTTCCCATTTCAGCTGTTCAAGTTCCAGGTTGGTACCCCTTCTTAAACCCTGTTGTGACGTATTTGCAAATTTATGGGCGCGTGTACATTTCCTTGTTGCATCTTGGCTGTGTAACAACAACAACAACAAGTAGCAGAGAGATCAGGCAAACCACTGGGAATGGCAGAACCCTAAACTACTGCCCCTCAATCTGTTGAGGAAAACCTTCAGTGCAGGTAGCTCGGTGTATAGCTGCAGTGCAGCTGCAGATTGAGCTCTGGGCGGCAGGAGTCCCAGAGGGGCAAGAGGCTGTGAACTGGTGGCAGCCCTTTGCACAACAATGGAAGCAAAGGGCCTGTGGCATTTGCCACGTGATCGGGACACTCAGAGACATGGCAGGAGCCAAGGACTCAGCTGGAATACCTCAGACTATACTGTGCATAGAATGGGAGGGTATAAAAGTTCAGGGCTTCCTTTATTCAGGATCCCTCCTCCAAAGCACCAACTCCAGCTCTTATTCTGTTGTTGCACTGTGATTTTTTTATTTTAAGGATCCAGATGTTGGAGACTTTGCTATAGGAAACTTGGCGTCAAACCAGTAAGGAAAACCTGATCTGACTTTGAGAGTGTGGTGAGGGTAGAAAGTCAAGTGAGGCACCCATTGGTTGCTGGAGCCGCCAGTGCAAAGCAGCTTCAGTCCCAGCTTTGGTGGTGCAAGTGTAACTGCCAGAGTGGTTCCTGGGTAGTCACACAGGAAAGTTTCCTTAGCCAATCCACCAAGCACACCTGACAGGACTCTGAAAATGGCTGTATAATAGATACGGTTTCATGACATACGTGCACAGAGAAGCCTATTGGTCAGCCTGGTCCATATATGACAGACAGAAAATTTATTTATATTTAGCTTGATTTTCAAGAAAACAAATAAAAATGCTGGTTTTCACACCTTCAATAGGAAGCATGTGATCTTTATTTGCCTTAACGAGGAGAGAACAGGATTCTCCAGTACCAGATTAGTAGGTGACTGGTGCTTCTGCCAAGAATCTACACATGCTTATCTCTGCTCTCATGGTTTCTTGTGTACCTAAGGACACAGCCATGTGTCTCTCTCCTAGACCTGACCCATGCCTCATGTGACAGACCACCAGCTGGTCAGTTCTGCCTTTGGCTGTGCTACAAAGAGCACCAAGTTCTAGCTCACGTCAAAGCAGGCTGCGTGTTTTTCTCCCCCGTGCCTGAGGCAGACATGGAGGGTGGATGGGGAATAGCACTTGTGGTTTTGACCTGAAGCGCACCCAGGATTACCCATGTGCTTCAGATTCACCTAAAAGCAAGAACTAACAGGCACCGTTTGGTTTCTTGGCCCTCTTGAACCTCAGCGCACGTTATCAAACATCTGGGCTTTGGTCAGGCACAACCCTAGCCCAGAAGTGAGACACGAGGCGTGATAAGGAATGAGCAGAGAGCACTGCAGTTCACTGATAACGCAGCCTGGCGGATTTCAGGCGGGCTTTCGAAGGTGTCAGAGAGGCTGCAGAGCCACGATTCTGGAGCTCCTGTGGCGGGAAGCTGGGAAAGGAAGAGAGGAAGGCAGGAAGCAAGGCAGGTTGGGCCGGCTGCTCCCGGCACCGCCCTTCGGTGCGCCACAGCGCCCCCTAGCGGCAGCGGCCGCAGCGCGCCCCGGCGCTTAATGCGCCTACACTTGCACGGCTGCGCGCCAGGGGGCGGGGCCACTGCTCATTTAAATATCACGGAGGCTTATTTGCATGCCACCAAGATGGCCGGCCCTGCGATTGGCCGGTTCCGGAGCAGCCCCCCACTGCCGGCCCCTGTGCCCACGGAGGGGGCGGGGCCAAACGAGAGAGGGGAGGAGACACTGGGCTAATTTGCATAGCGGCCGGCGTGTGTGACGCGGGGAGGCGGTGTTGGCGTCCGGAGCGCGTTGCGAGTTTGAATCCGCGGCGGCGGCGGCGGCGGCGGCGGCTGCTCGGGCGGGAGCTGCCGCGGGACGCGAGGGCGCAGGTACTGCGGGGCGCGCTCGGGGCGCGGGCGCCGGGCGGGCAGGGCACGGCGGCGGCCGTGCTCGCTGCTCCGCGCGGCGGCGGCGGCGACTGCAGCTGCTGCAGCAGCAACAGCGCGCATGCGCCAGGAAGCTGCACCTCTGTACACGCGCATGCATGGGAGCACGTGACCTGGCTCCAGTGCAGCGGCGGTGGCGCGCGTGCGCGTGCCCGTTGCATTCGCGGGTTGGCGGCGGCGGCGGCGCGGGCGCAGGTGGGTCTGACGGGGGCGCGCACCGGGCAGCAGCGGGCACCCGCCCGGGCGCGACCCGCCTCACGCGGCCCGGGCGAGGCGAGGCGAGGCGGCGGCGCGTGTTTGGGTGGGACGGGGGCGTCCGGCGCCTCGAGAGCGTTCCCTCGCTCCCTGCCGGCATTGGGCTGGCGCGCCCGGGGCGGCGTCTGGCGCCGCCGGGAAGGGCCGCGCCGGCGCGGCGGGCGTGGGACCTCGCAGCGCATGGGCTGTGCAAGCAACGAGGGCAAACTGTTGATGGTGTTCTTGCACTGGTAGGCACCAGGAGCCAGTTTCTCTGCTTTATCGATATGCTTGTTCATTGGGAACCAGACAGTTTCTGTATGGCAACAGAGAAGGCAAGTTGTGCTTACTCGTGTGATGCCACCAGTAAACAAGGCCCAAGCGGCTCCTCGAGGTGTCATGGCCGCCCATAGCAGGCAGCATGGCAAAAGAGTTTAAGACATGAACTAAGTTAAAGAAGGTACATTCCAACCTCTCCTCTTCCTTAGCTTAAGTATTTTAAATATCGAAACTCTTCAGAGTTAAGCGGTTTTTTTCTTTAATTCTGAGGCCTGGTGTAGCCTTGCCCTTGAGTAGCTTGTTCTAGCAAAATCCATCTTTCTGGATTTTGCAGTCGTTGGCAGATATTCGGTGGAAATGCTGATAGTAGGATATTTTGTTGCTTAACAGTAATCTTGAAATCATTCTAATAACGTCGTATGACTGCAATCCTTACCATAGATAGACTTACTCGAAAAGTTGGATGGAAATGTTGATGGAAAAGTACTTGCATAAAATAAAGGAGTGAACAGCTCTGCTGTTCTAGGAAGCAGTCAGTGAGCTTAAAATGCAGGCTTCGGTCACAGAAAAACGTTACACATCTAGACATTTACTATGCTAACAAGAGGAAGTATGTTAATAGGTATGTTTGTTTAATATCCGCAACTATACAAAGAAATGCATGAATACGTTTATTAGAACTTAATTCTGCAAGATAAGACTATTTTACAAGCATGCTATTTGTATCTCTTTTGGAAGTTAAAATATATACATGTGCTTGTTACAGTTCAGAATACTTATTTTTTCAAAAACAGAAGAGTGTAGAATGTTCTTAATCTCTGCTTAAATGTGGAATTAATAAGTTAAATATGAAATCTGTACACAACGATCTGTTATCAGTGTAAAAAATAGATGGTTTTCTAATTAGGTGTTGGTTTTTGCAGTCCTGCAGGAAGGTATGAAGGAGAGTGTTGCTGCAGATATTAAGAATTTCTTGAAGGGAAAGAAACCAAACACAAAAACCACTGCTGTTTGATACGTGATCCTGGGTAGGTAATGTCTGAGTTTCAGATCTATGAAATGGGGCTAGTGGTTGTTTCAGGCCAATTATAAAATAAATTCACTAAGAACTACATGAGGATTTATGCAACTCATGAATCGTGGTAACTGCACTCACTATTTATTCTTGACATACAGCAGTTATTATTTTACATGCTCCAAAAGTACCAAGTTAAATTTCTATGTGTATATATTCCAGAGAGAATTATATTAATAATAACTTTGGATTCTTGTTACATTTCTAGGTTAGAGAACATAGTACATTATTTTGGAGTAAATGGTGTTTGTATCAGCTGCAACCTTTCTACCAGCTGTAGCAGTGCTGAGCTGATGCTTTCCGTGATAGTACGGAACAGTGCTGCATTCTGCTGTATGAAATAACTTATCAAGAGAGTGTCTTGGATGTCATGTAGACTTGAAACTGATCAAAGCAGTATTTATTTGTAAAATGATACAACAATAATTATATGCATCAATTTAAGTAGTTATTCTGGTGCTTTTTTTGTGAGACCTCTAATTTTCTACCCCATATGAAGTCTGTTTTTAAGAAGATGCTGATTCTAATAGACACGCACATCATTTTGCCACATTTCCTGTACCTCTATAAGCAGTAGCTTGTTATTATTGTACTCATTTCACAAATTTAAAAAATCAACATTAATTGTAATGTGTGAATTTCTCTATAAAAGCTCCTTTAGTAATGCTTCCCTTGGGGACATAAAACACATAAGCATATGCTTTCTTACCATCATTGCTGGAAGGTGATTTTGCTAGCCAAGAAAGAGTCTGAACAACTTAATAAAAGTTACTAGTTAATAATTAAATTTTAAATATTGCTCTTACAGAATCCAATGCAAACAGAAATGTTTTGTATGTTCAATGAATTCTAAAATACTGATTTGTCATTAGTAACTCAATTTTCCTTGTATTTGCGTGTGTTTCCTGTTACAAACTAGAAGTATTTTCACCATGAAAAGGAGCTGACTAAGCCAAATACTGTATTTTGTTTTCAAAATAAGGGAAAAAACCTTATTTCTCACCATTTAGATGTTTTATTGATGTAACTATTTATTAGGTTTATCTCAATTTAATTGTCAGAAACTATACATATGGCAAAAATGTCAAGTTTATTCATGGAATGTAAGCAGAAGTTTATTAATGGAATGTAAGCCAAAAGATCCTTTAAACCAGTATCTTGTTCTTACTTAATAGTTTACACGTTAATTTTTTTTTTACTATTTGTTCTACCTTTGGTGTTTTTTTCTGTATTATGAGTTAGTTCCATGTTTACATTATGATTTTATTTTGGGAGTTCATCACAATTTTCTTAAGGGGTAATAAATGAAGAAAATAAGTTGCAAGTTACAAAACTGTTACGATATGTGAGTGTGAGGAGTTGGGATTTTTTCCCTCTCCTTGATACATTTTTAATACCGCTCTTAAGTGCAATGAAATATAATGTTATTAATAATTTTGAGAAATATCTCTCATTGGTCTCCTTGATCTTCTCTAGTATGCAACATTACTCTGAGAGATTGACCTATTCACACAAAATTAGTGGGAGTTTGTGAACTGGTCAATATAAATGCTGCTTTGGTGATGAATATTTGTAGTCCTGGTATTTCAGTTCTGCTCACTGAACTGTGTGTACTGCATGAAAAAATTCTCCTAGTTCCACTGTACTGTAAGAAGCTGTTTATCAAGCAACAGTGACTCGTCCAAATACAGGCTGGAGAGTAATATAGGGCTGTTGTGTGTGGCAAGATTTTTTGTTTGCTGGTTTTTTGACAGCTCATTAAAAGCAGAAAGTTAAGTTGTTTTTAAAGTAAATTTTTCTTGTCAAGTCAGATAGCTGTAGAATATCTTAATCTCTGAATATGGTTTAGGTATGAATTGTGTAATACCTAATATTTAACATTTCTCTACTTGGGCCTTGGTTTAGACACTAAAGCCTACTGGATGATGTCAGAGGAAGTAACTTATAATATTTTTAATACTTGGTTAGGAGGCTCTGGAACACAGATTGTGTCAGCTTCTGAGTTCTGGTTATTTTCTCAAATGCATAATTTTACATAATATTATGGAGATCTTAGTTTTTATTTGGCTGAAAAGATTTTGTGTATTGTTGATAGCGTTTTTAGATGTCTTCATTTTTTGTTCATGTTCAGGTTTTTCTAACTTCTTTTTCCGTTTTGTATTTTTATAATAATGGCAGTCAAGAAGTTCTTGATTTTGTGTGTACAATGCTTAAGTCTTTGAAAGCATCTAACTGAAGTACAGTATCAGTCTACAGATTAGACTATAAAAGTGAGTGTCATCTGATGTAAATATAAAGCACTGATATTCATTCTCTAGAAACTTGCTCTTCAGAATGCATTATTTTTTCCTGTGGAAGTGTGATTCAGAAAGGAGAGTCTGTTTTGTTTGGAGGGCAATTTTTTAACTTAAATTGCATATTCTGGTTTTAATGAGTGTTCTAGTTCTTAACGCTGTTTTTCCTTGACTGTTTGTCTGACGATATATATAGGCCAAAACGTATTCCAAAGTTGTAAGCAGATTTTTCCGTTGCATATGACTTTTATATAGCTTTGTATTTCCTTTCATCTCATGTTGTACTAGATAGCGTTAAAAAAGCCAGAATCCTTTAACTGAAAAATAAATCATAATCATAGAATGGTTTGATTTGGAAGAGACCTTAAAGATCATCTACTCCCAATTGTCCTGAAGTGCAGGGAGATCTTCCATTAGACCTGGTTGCTCAGAGTCCCATCCAGCCTGACCTCGAAAACTTAGATGGGTGAGGCATTCCTCACAATTTAACCACCTCACTGCAGTGCCTCACCACTCTCACCTGAAAGGATTTCTTCCTAATATCTAATATAAACCTACTGGTTTTCAGCTTGAATCCATTACTTTTTGTTCTGTAACTCATAACCTTATAAAAAGTTATTTTCCAACTCTTTTATAGGTTTCTTTTATAAGCACTGGAAGGTCCCGAAAGTATCTATACAGCCTTTTCCAGACTGAACAACCCCAGTTCTCTCAGCTTTTCTTCTTGGGAGAGGGGATCAGTCTCTCTAATCATCTTGGTTGCCTACATTTGGACTCATTCCAACAAGCCCATGTCCTTTTTTATGTGAACATTTGTTGCTAGTTATTCTATTCTTAGTAGTTATTGCAAAACTTTTTTGTTTTCAGTAAATATAAAAATAAGTATCAAATATAGTTATTAGTTATTAATAATTACTAATTATTAATAATTAATATCTGTAAAGTCTGAGAAAATGAACAGCTGGAGTGAGGAGAGTTTACCAGTGTTGGCAGTGAGGGAGTTTTGAAATTATATGTTGTTTTGGGGGAATAACTTGCTATCAGTCAGTACATGAGCCAGTGTCCAGTGTTTACTTGCTTGGTGTAGTAAGGAATGAGTGATAACCCGAGTAAAAAGTAGCAAGACAATGTTTGTATGAAATGTGGATTTGCTAGTTCCATTGCTCACTCCTTATCTTGTTTAGTACTGCTGGTGTATATTTTTTTAAATTGCCTGTATATTTAACAGCAAATCTGCCTTCCCCTTTCCATTCCTCCCCCCATCTTTCAGGGGTTTTTTGAAAGTAAAGACTCCCTTGTAGGTGTAGCTAAGAGCATGGTACTAACTATACAGTACTAAATAACTGTAATTTTTAGTGGTATGTCAGTTTCCATCCCATGATAATGGAACAATTCACAACATTGTGTAAATGACTGTATCTTGTATAAATACCTTTTATGTTTCTCTGGGAAAGCTTTTGTTTGGGAAACAAAAGTGAACTATGCCTCTTGTTGTATTTTGAGCCGTGCTTGTTACAAATTATTAAAAACTGTACATAGGACTTACTAGCTCTTATTTTTTTCATGAACAAACATCAAATAATTTGAGAATTTAGGAAATTAGATGGCTGGGTCCCAAGTACTTGTTTTTAAATGTATTTTTAAAAATATTTAGTTCAGCTAATTTTTGAGGTACTTTATGGGTATCATGAATTTTTGTAATACAGGAAAAATGTTTTCCTCTTCCGGATTTGGTTTCTGAAAATGCTTTCAAGTAAAGTCCCATAGTCAATACACAAATTTTATTAATTATATGGCTATGGATATGGGAGATTAGCACAAAATGACAGTTGTTAGAAAAACCTGTGTATTATTCTGTCTCAAGCATTGTCTTTCATTTCACGGTAGTGTAAAGAAATGTTATAGTAAAAAAAACCCCAAACAATTTCCCAAACAGAAATACATCCCTCTTGTATCCCCCCACAAAAGAAAAACCCAAGCCAAACAATCCAAAAGCTGCCATGTTACTTCTAGCTTTGCCTCCAACATGGTGCAGTTTCCATAAGGTCATTTTTAAAACAAGCTGCATTAAAATTTCTTGTTTCTCCGAGAAATGTGTTTAAACACATTAACATAAATGCTGGTTGACTCCAGTCAATGCTCTGAAAATTTTGCTCCTTGGTTCTACTATCAAGCAGCTTAGAATAATGAAGAGTCCTTAAATGTTGTGCAGACTTTTTTCTTAACTTCAATATTCCTTGTCTTATGATTATGAGCTCTTTTCTTTCTCCCAGCAGTTTAGGTAGTGTTTATTTGTGAAGTCCTAAGTGAGAGCCAAGATGTTTCTTGAAGCCAGTCTACTGGCATGTGTGAAAATGGGAATAAAAAAGGATTTCAGTGGATAGTGTTTAGAGACTTCAGTTGAAATGCATAAGATAGTAGTTTTTCCTGAATTTTGTCAGTGTAAGAACTGTTTTCTCTACTTAATGTCTACTAACACTTAAAACCCTACCTAGCAAAACAAAAGATCAATAAAGGAAGTGGGTAAGTGAGAAAAGTAGGTAGAATGTGGTTTGGACACAAGGATTTGTGAGTGATACGTAGATAACTGGTTTCTAAGCATCTAATTTGAGCAAAAGAAAGCATTCATGCTTTGGCTGTTCTGTTGCCCTTGTTATGT